AATACTTTCTCAGGGTTACAAATTCATTAATCAAATTATGACATTTTCATCAATCAAGCTAAATATTATACACAATTGTTAAAGAGATTCAGCATGGAAAAAATAAAGTCAATCTCAACCCCAATGGGTACTTTATGCAATTTAGATAAAGACGAAGAAGGAAAGTTAGTTTTAAAAAATAGAATATTAAGGTAGGATCAAATCTCTTATTTATCTTACTACATCTTAGCCTGATATTATACTTTTTGTCTGTTAGTGTGATTTTTTTCAAGCAAACCCCAAAGAATCATACCTCTCTACAGTCAAACTCATTTTGAGATATGTCATTAGTACAACACTTATGGGTTTATGGTATCCCAAAAGAGTGGATTGAAATTTAGTTGGGTAATGTGACTTCGGTTTTGTTGACTGTAAATTAGATCATAAAAGTACCAACGATACATGTCATTTCCTTAGAAATTTGCTTGTCTCTTAGCATAACAATAAATAAGCAGGTGTTTTATTATCCACAACTGAAGCGGAAAATGTCAGTGCAGGTAGTTTTTGTATGCAAGTTATTTGGATAAAACAAAAGTTATGTGATTACAGAGTTAATATTGGAGTTATCCCAATAAAATGTAACAACACTAGCGCCTTAAAATCCCACAAAAAATCAGGTGTTTCACTCTTGATCTAAACACATTGAGATTAAATACCATTCATTAGCTATAATGTCGAAAAGGGAGATTATATAATTGAGTTTGTGTCTTCATCTAATCAACTAGAAGATATTTTTACAAAACCTCTTCCTAATGAATTGTTTTATAAGAACTCATTTAGGAATCTTAAATTAATCATGCATGGATTAAAATGTTTAAGTGTTTCATTTCTATCTTCTTCTTTCCTTTCTCAATGTGATATATGGGTTATACGTGCTGGTTAATTTTCTCCTCCATATTTTATCGCATTTTTATTAATGCTAAAGGGGGAAAATATACTCTCATTGAGAGAATTATACTTTTTTAGGGGGGTAAAATATACTATCTTTATATGTAATAAATAGTTAACCACTCCAAATGTTTTTTTTCCTATTTTACCACCCCCATAAGAGATACATTGTCATTATAAAAAAGGTAGAAAACATGACTTTATATAGTGTGCATGCAATATAGTCAAATGATTTTGATGATGACAACTATAAAAATGGTTTACAATGATGACATCTAAACAAAGAAAGAGACATCTCTAGTATCATTAGGCAAATGTTTCAAGTTCTAGTTGAAAGTGCAAGACAAATTTTAAACAAGCAAAAAGACATAAAGACATGAAGTTGTGATCTTGAAGACATGAAAGCGTGAAAGATCGTCTAATCCTAAGTTTTTCATTTTATCTTTTTTATTAGTTAATTGTAAATGAAACATGAGTAGGTCTCTAGGTACAAAGGAAATACACACACAGATGCACACACGCGCACACACACACACACAGACGCGCACACACCCACACCCACACACAAAACAATATTTCAAACTTATCATCATTTTGATAATACTTCTTAAAACCAATCTGAGAAAGTGTTTAAAAGAATAAGAAGCTTGTTTGATCAGTTACGAAGATAAAATATCTTGGTTAATAGATTAAAACTTACTTCTAATCGATTATCATAATCTATTAAGTGACATCAAAATTCAGAGTTTCCTTGTTTGGTTAAGTTAATCGAATAAAACATGGTTTTAATCGATTAAAATATTAAAAATCTCATGGATTGTTACCTTTTTTAGCCATATTTTTCCTATATAAATGAGGGTTATCCTCATTTCAAAATACATCATTTTTCTTATTGAAATCTTTCTACTATATTTCTTTATCTATTCTTTTATAAAGCTCTTTGTTATTAGAGTTACCTTAGTACCAAGAGAATGAAAATTTCCATTTGAGAGTTGAGTTGTACTGGTATATTTCTATTATATTTCTCTTGTGATATATTTGTAATAAATTTAAAGGTTGCAAGTTAAATCTGTAAAAGCCTTTGGTGACGGTCATTGAGATAATCCTATGTAAAAACTCAGATTCACAGTGGAAGGTATTTGGGTTGATCATGTGCAAAATATCAAGTTGTTTTGTAAGGTTGTTCGGAGTGACTTTGTGAAATAACTCAACATTGTTTTAGTGTAAATATCAAAGGAAAACTCTCAAGGACTAGAGTAAGCCAAGTAGTTTAGGCTGACCAATAATAATTCTTTGGCGTGATCTTTTAATCCTTTTCTCTTTTATTTTCGTTATTTATTTTTATTCCACTTCTCTTTTACTTATTTCTCCATCTCTTATCTTTTTTTTATTATTCTGTTGTTTCATCTCTATTTTCTTCCATTTTCAAACATAAATCATTTTAGATCAAAGTGCTTTTATAAACATATTTTTGAATTTCAAATATCACATCCACGACCGTCTTGTGTTTGAAATCACTTGATCAACAATTGTGTTGTAGTACCTCTAGTCGAGTTGAAGAGGCTCATGCTCTGCTGTTGTACCTTGTTGTAGATGTTCATCATGAGCTTATTAGTGCTAGGTACTCGTAGCATGACTTAAAGTTTCTTAATATTGTATGATTGTTCTGGTCTAGAGGATTGGAATGATTGTGGAGGAGGATTCTCATGTTGATATTGTAGTGGTTGAAGCGAAATTTAGTTATAGAACAATGGAATAAAGAGACATTCTTGTGAAATCAGTTGAGAAACTGGAATTTGGCGTGGCTCTATAGTCGATGAAGTGATTACAATCGAAGCTTGTTGATCTTGGTGTTGAAGAGGTTCTTCTGTTGCAATAGTGAGAGCTATCATCACGTTATTTGAAGTGTCAGCTAGATGTCAATAACATGAACAAATGTTACATTGAGTCATTGATCGAGTTGCTTTCAATCCTACAATTGTAGAAGTTAACTGAAAGCGGTTGTGAGAAGATTAATAATGTTTGGAATGGTTAACATAAGCAATTACAACAATCAAAAGTGGTTAAACAAAATAGTTGCGATGTTGCAACAAAGAAAATTACATAAATTTGATGAAAAATCCATGAGAATCAGAAGACGATTCTCATAAATTATGCCATTATTCCATACTTGAACAGGAAATGAATGAGAGGTTGAAAATGACCAGCACGTAAGAGCTTTTAGTACGGTGGTAAAAATTTACAGTGATTAGAGATAAGATACTTGAAAGGTTAGTACCAATGTTTTGGAGAGATAAAACTATACAAATATGAATGAGAAAAATACTTAGATGTAACTCATAGTTAGACTTATATACATATGATGGTTAAAACAACTTAAGGTGATTCAACTTAAATTATGAAGGGTCATTAGTGTGCTCTAATGCGATGTTCTATGGCAAAGGTACATTTATTAACCAGTCATTAGATTGAGCCACATAATTAAGACGGCCTTATTGATCCTTTGATCCACCCAAAACAATAAATATTTTAAATCATAAAATTAACATATAATAATTTTTTCTAAAGGTGATTTTTTAGTTGAAGAAAAGAAAGAAAAACCGTTTTTTAATCTAAAAAAATGATAGTTTATCGTAAGAGCACCTCCAATTGTGCAACCCATTTTTGGATTCCTTGTGGGACCCATCAAGATACATCATCTTCAAGCAACTCATTCAATTTTCACTTTAATGATGCAACTCTAAAGAATCTATATTAAGTCCCACAACTTTATTTTATATATTAATATTTATTCATATTAAATTTTACTTTATTTAAAATTTTAGAAATGAAGAGTAAAATGATGAAATTGTGAAAAAATATAAAAGTGATAGAAAACTTGTGTGAAAATTTTTTTATATTGTTTATTTATAATTAACCAAAGTATTAAAAAAAAATAAAAAAATAGATTCGTTCAACACCGGTAACATGATATTTTTTCAATTTTATTATTATTTAATGTAAGTTAATTTTCCATTATTAAGTTATCTTTTTTTCAATTTTATTATTATTTAATGGAAGTTACTTTTAAAACTATACTTTTTATTTGCCACGCTGGAGCAACTTGTGAGATACCAACCATTGGAGTTGGTCTAAGAATCGTTGGAGTTGGTCTAAGAGCATCTCCAACCGTGAACTCATTTTTGGGTTCTTTGTGGGACCTATTAAGGCACGTCAGCTTGAAGCAACTCAACTAATTTTTCACTCCAATGGTGCAACTCTGAAGAACTCATATTGGGTTCCACAATTTTACTTTATATATTAATATTTTATTCATATTAAATTTTATATCACTTAAAATAATAATTTTAATTTTTTACAGAAAATTATTTCAGTCTACTATATAGCCCAACGAGTATATAGTGTTGTTTTAAGGAAAAATATTTCATTCTACTATATAAACTTAAAAAAAATTAGATTAAACTTAAAAAAATATTTCAATCTCTCCTTAGTTAATTTTAGTATTTTAAATTAAATTTGATATAAAATTAAAAAAAAATGAAATTAAAGTTATAATTTAAAATAAATAAAAATAAAATTCAAATTAAACTTATAATTAAAATATAGTTTTCATATTATAAAATTAATATTTTAATTTTATAATTATAGTTTTCAAATAAAATTTTATATTAAATTATAATTTTTATATTATAAAATCAATATTTTAATATAAGAACCGTTGCATAACTAAGAACCTTTGAATAATATGACAATCTTGAAAACAACAAGAGGGTAGTATATTTGATGTTAAAATATGAATGAAAAATAATTCTTATTATGTTAAGAGTTCAATTGAAAAACAAAAAACTAAAAAAGGTTATATAGAGAAGATCTGTGTAATTGTAACGCGGGCTTAAATTATTTTATTGAAAGAACCCAAATTCCCAAAGCCCAAATAACAAAGATCCAAATAAATTGAAGAAACCCTAATTCCGTGGCAAAACACTATATAGCATATTTTGCGACCTGAGCAGCAGAGTCTTCGAAAACCCTAACATTTTTCTGTGCCACAACCTCGTGATTCAACCGCCACGATGAGTTCCGGTGAGTTGGGTTGCATCTACGCCACTTTGATTCTCCACGACGATGGAATCCCAATCACCGTTAGTCTATTATCTTAGTCTATTATCTCTCTTCAATTCTCCGTTCGACTATCTCCAAATTAAATCTAGATCTCATTTCTCTTCGCTCTCTCTTTTATCTGTTATTTGTTTTCTCATTTCTCTGTTATTTGTTTTTGTAGGCGGAGAAGATAAGCACAATCTTGAAGGCGGCTGATGTTACCGTCGAATCCTACTGGCCAAGCCTTTTTGCCAAGCTTGCTCAAAGCAAGAATGTTGACGATCTTGTTTTGAACTCTGGCGCAGCGGGTGGACCCGCCGTTGTTTCCGCCGGTGGAGCTGCACCCGCCGCTGGTGGGGCAGCAGCAGCAGAGGCACCTGTTGAGGCAAAGAAGGTGCATATTTTAATTCTTTTAATGAGAATTATGCTTTTTGATAGAAAATTAATGAATGATATATAACTGATCGATGCTTTAATCTTATAAAATTGTAATTGGGATTGTTCTGCGCTATAAATTTGATGTATTACACTCAAGCTATCTTTATCAACATCCTTTGATTCAGTCCAAGAACATGAACATAATTCTTTTGTTATGTTCATTTTTAGATTCTCTTATTTGGTTGTGCCGTTATTGTTTTGCTGATATTTTGAACGTTTTGAACTATTTTGTAAAACTTTTAAGTAAAAATTAACCTATAGTGTTTTCAACACTGTATCTCAAACCTGTCAATTAATTACCACAATCACTGTGATTGCAACCCCACAGCTGTATTTGTGACATCAACCACATTTTAAAACCAAGAATAGATTATATCTTTTATTTGTCATGACTAAAAATTATAACAATATATTTCATTCTTCATGTTGTACATGTTTTGATGTGGGGGTCTGTTCAAACCGCTCACTGTAATTGTTGACCATTACATACATTGTCTATTTAATTTCTTAATATTTGATTAATTGTATTAAGATTGGATAATTGAGCTATATTTTTTAGGTTAACCATTTTGCACTCTTAGGAGTTATTTTATTGTTTGTATAATTGTAGCATTGCTTGATCAAGTTATGTATCATCGTAGTAAACCTTTATTTTCTTTACTTTTCAGGAAGAGGCCAAGGAAGAAAGTGATGATGACATGGGCTTTAGTTTGTTCGATTAGGTTTGTCATTATAGTTTTTTTAGCCAGACTTGGACTCCTTACAAGGAGTGGCTTGATCCAAAACTTGTTTTGCTTTTATAAATTGTTTATCTAAGTGAGTTTTAGCAATCTACTATCACATTTTATTGTTAAATTTTGGTGAATATTTTTGAATATCTTAATGATATGGTTACTTGTTTTGCTTTTATAAATTGTTTATCTAAGTGAGTTTTAGCAATCTACTATCACATTTTATTGTTAAATTTTGGTGAATATTTTTGAATATCTTAATGATATGGTTATTTTCTTATTCTATTGACTATAAGTAAATAGTGTTCAATAGGAACAATGTAAGCCAATAGAATGTTTTGAGAAGTTTTTTTTAGTGAATTTATATGTTGAACAACACTGGTATGGTTTTCTAAAATTAATGTTGAACCTCCGTATCTTTTTTATAAAAGACAATTCAGATTTTTTGGTTCACTGAATAAAAAAGAGACAATTCAGATTTTTTGGTTCATTGAATAAAAAATGATATACCACACCTTCTCTACCTATAAATGCAATGAACCTAAAAATGACTAATATGCAATCAACCTAAAAAATGATATAATAAAAATGGAGGTATTAATACATATTAATATCTCTACCTGAATGATAACTTTATTGAAGCTTAAATACCTTCTTTTTAGCAATATACTACTACACTTATGATTTTCACTATACTTGTGATTTTCAGTTTGTTTGAAGAGATATCAATATTACATTTAACATCCCCAGAAGTATACCACACCTTCTCGTTTCATAAATAATACATGTTAAAATCTCCAATGTATAATAAACTTCATTGCAGTTTTTTTTATCAAGCTTCATTGCAATTTCAATTCCTTCTTTTAGCAAATTTAATCTAGATAAATTCTATTTGTTTTGAGTATTACTTTTCCCATCTTTTGGGTGCGTCTCATGCCTTTGAGGACGAAGCTAAAATCATCTTTGAAAACTCTTTTAAATTCATTTTAAGCTATTTGAAGTGTGGTTATTGAACATCACAAAAGATATTTTTGAGCTGTGTTTATTGCACATTTCAGATGTAAATCTGAAAATCCCTTGTATACATTATAGGCATGTGACATTGTTTAAAATTTGTCATTTTTTTATTATTTTAGGTCATTTTAAACTATAAATTATACAATACATAATGCATTAATTGATTTAAACATATTAAACATGTATATTGAAAAGTCAATCATTAATCAAAGTAAATTAATAATGTACCGACCATACATAATTTGATCGAAAAATATAAAAAATAATACAATCAAACATAATCTACTGAACATGGCTAACCCTTTGACTTCTCCTATCGTACTACAAGATATTCAGTGTCTCGATAATAATACCTTTGACGAGGGTCAACTGCGAACTGCCTTTCTCAAAAAGTCCTATCTCTATGTCCGGTCTTGCTATATTTATAATACGCTAACAAATGTTGTTTACGTCCTATGTGTGATCATCCCTAGCCTATAGTACCTCATGATTAGAAGGCCTAAGTGCTCTTATAGGAGCGTCTGATGCCATGATAGAATATAACACCTTATAGAACCATGTCATGCGTAAGTTCAATGTATAAGAGCTGACACCCTGTGATAGTCCTCTGGTACCAAATAACTCTCGAAATTCTCAAGTATGACATCAAGAATCCTGAGGCATGCAGTGGAAAGTGCAAACTTTGAGAGGTGTTCACTCGCTCGACCAAATACACATACAAATACCAAAATTGGGGCTTCACTCGCTCGACCAAATACACATACATCATAGCTGTTCTGCGAGTAAACTATCAAGGCTATAATGAAATGACATCCATCTGACGCGTCTTGCGGTGATCACTGTATGGGCATAATGCAATGTCATTTGCTATATGACGGTCAAGATATAATTGGAATTTCTTGATCGCCTGATTCCCTCTATGTGAGGCAAAGGCGCAAACATGTGTCCAATCCTCACTATAGTCAGGAACATGTTTCCACCTAGAAATGTGAGGAAATGAGAGATGATGCATCGCTGAAAAATGATTCAGATAAAATATTAGTAATAAGTGTAATAGATTTATGAAGATATTAGTAACGGTAAATTATTGTAAGCAGCGTGCAACTTCTTGTCATCTACTTTGTCTTCCAAAGACAACCCTTACGTAACTTCGAGTATAGGTAGACCAAACAGGTGGCCCCTGGTAGACCACATCGACGTAGGTTGCTCTTTTGTCAACAGACATGAACGTGCCAACTAGGAGTAATAGGTAACACCTCAATGCACACTATCAGTGGTACTCAACCTGTGTAACATCATTGTCGGCATCTACAACCATCTGCACGTGGTCTTTATACAATTCTTCCAAGAATTTAAATCTAGCAAGAGCACATATGGTGTCAGACTATCAGCTACCTCATATGCCACCTCAGTTGGGTTAATTCCTAGATAGGTGACCATCATCTCGACGACTTTGTCTCGATTGGTCCTTTTGTGGTCCAGTAATTTTTGTCCGATGGGAAGATGCAAGAGGCATGTGACGTTATCTAGTGTGATGATCATCTCGCCTAAAGGAAAGTGGAAAGATGACATATCTGAATGTCATCTTTCTACAAATTCCGTCTGCATGCCATGGTTTATGGTAGTGTACCAACATTAGATAAACCGACAAGCCTAGAGTAGCGGATAAGATCCTTGAACCACTCAGCTCGAGTTGTTTCAGTTCCAAAATCTTCCTTATGTGGTTTACACATTTTAAACATTAAGGCTCATGTAAAAAAAGTCTATCACTATCAGTCGTGTTTAAATTTGTTTAAAATATATATATATATATATATATATATATATATATATATATATATATATATATATATATATATATATATATATATATATATATATATATATATATATATATATATATATATATATATATCCTTCCTATACATGCCTAGAAGCATGGGTTCTATAAATGTGAAGTAAGGAGATGTCAAATGGACCTCTTGGAGAACTATCTATAGGAGCATTAACAACACGTTCCTCTTGGACTTCAAGGGCTTCATATGCAGGGGACACATGGCCCCGTGAAGTAGATGTATGACACAAGTGACTAAGGGAAGTAGAACGAGATGGTTGTTAACCTCACCCTTGTGAACCATCAAACGGGGTATCATCGACTCGTGGCCTTACCCCTGGCCTTCTCGGGTTGTACAAACACATGTTGGGATACACAACCGAGCCTAATCCTATTATGGTTGTTTTTCAGCCATTGCACTCGTAATAAAACCAAAAAAATCACATCATAATGCATCCAAAATGCAGTCAGGCCAAGTTCAGAGATATATTCCCGAAAACAGTCCAGGAAAAATTTGAAGATGCATCTCCGAATGAACTCACAATTTTCAGCAATGGCAGAAACCCTGTTGATTATCTAATGCTACATGACAGTCAAGATATAATTGGAATTGCTCGACCGTCAGTTACCTATTTGGAATGTACTATTATCTAATGCAATTTAAACAACTCATGTTACCTAAAACATCATTAAAATCCAAAAATATGAAATTAGAAACTTAGCAAATTAGAGTTATGGATGAGAAGCTTAAATACATTGAGTAACTTTGCAACAAATGAAGTATATGAAGTGAGTGAACTTGAAAAACCTTGAAGAAACTTGCTCAAACGGGAATTGTAAATGACTTTGCAGCAAAAAAGCTAAAATGGTGTTTTTCAGTGTGTTCAGAAAATGAAGAAGGAAGAGGGAAGGGTCTGACGCAAGTATATGAAACAAACGCGTTTAGAGATGTATCTCCGTAAACTTATGAATTTTGAATTAATATTCGTTACAGAGATGCATCTCCGACCTAAATTTGGCAAATAAGGGTGGCTCACCAATTTGCATTGATGATTGTGGAGGAACATTTGACAATAGACAGTTGTGACTTTTCACGATGGTGGTGGAACACCCCATGGGGTGGGAAAATTATTCTTTTTTTTTTGTACACGTAAGGCCCCAAAGGCTCGAAGAAAAAGGGGAAAGTCTAATGAGAAACTCTGACATCTTCAGGGAGTGAGGCCTCCGAATTATCGCCATTTAGATCATTTGAAAATATTCAGAAGAATGAGAAGGTTGTTATTGTTTAAAGTAAGACTATGGTTGGTTATTTAAGCTAAACAACAGTTTCTTTTGTCAAATATTGGTAATCTTGATTTACTAATTCTTTTGATCCATACATTTGATTATAAGAACTAAAGTTGGGAAGTTGTGATCATCCCCAATCTCTTGGTTAACCATATTTATTAGAACTTTAAAGTCACATTCGACCACCATATTTGAAATTCTATCATGCAAAGCTAGCTAAATTTCATGTAACATTTTGTAAATAATTGTAGCAAGAGCATTACAGAAACCAATTCTTCGTGCATATCCTCTAATCTAAATTCTGGAGGAGTCATTGACCAAGATTCCACATGTTGCCGTGGAAATAGACTTTGTTGTGAATCTTGTTGTGAATTACGACAAAATTCAATATCAATTTGTGAGGAAAAGAAAAATAACAACCAAAATAAATGGTCTTCAACAATAATAATTCGTACACAGATAATATACCGGAATAAGGCAAGAAAAAAACAGAAGGTTTGCTTACCCAGTTCGATCAAATGATCTACTCTGGGGGAGAGAGAAACTCTTCAATTCACTATACTCAAAAAGTTGTTAGAAGAGGTTACAGATGAGTTACAAGAACCGTGTTGATACCAATCAACAACATTGCTGCTCTCTACCAAGTTGAAACTTTAATCAATAACTTTGATCAAATTCAAGAAACCGTTGAATCTTGATCCTGCAACTTGAATCCACTTATTCCCAATTATCCTTTGCTTCCTAGGTAATTTAACAAGCCTACTGTTAGAACACAGATTGGTTCTTAATAATATTTCTATGTTTTGATGATAACTATTATGAAATTTTGTATTTAAGAATTATATACTCTAAA